AGCACATTAGATTGCACGCGCAGTGCCCCAAATTTGAAGTAGGAGGACCGACCAAGCATCTTTTTCCATCTCCCGGTTCCTAAAATCGATGCCATATACACGTCCCCTGATAGGGGACGTAACAGGGAATAAACTGATAGGAATAATACTACTTAAAACACCTTATAATAACGCAGAGAGAGGCAACGCAGAGAGAGGAGTCTGAAGAAGAGGAGTCAGAGGAGGAAGGTGGCTTTGAGGAGGTGGAAGACCAAACACAGCAGGCATCCCAGGGGGCTTGTTGTCACCTTTCGGGGACCCTTGGTGTTGTACGTGGCTGGGTGGAGGAAGAGACCTTCAATGGACTGTTTGCGGTGCGTTAAACGGGGAGTTTGGTCTGTCACTGTGAAGCGGGTGTAACCCTTACACTACCTGATCGATACAACATCATACAGTAGGTCCCCCCCCTCATTATTTTTATGGCCCCCACCCACCACTCACGGGTGGGGGCGGGCGGGATGACAGTAGGTCCCCCCCATTGAGATTTATGGCCCCCACCCACCGTGCAGGGGTGGGGGCCGGGGGGAGGACAGTAGGTCCACCCTTATCATTATTTACTGAATATTCCCCTGTATAACAATGTTTGGCATTTAGTGAATATTCCCTATTCTGCTCTGTGTCAGTGTGTATCAGGGATCCTTAGGATAGGTGTCAATCCATATCTGCCAAGTGACACTATGTAGGGGAAACAGTCTCTATTCTGCTCTGTGTCAGTGTGTATCAAGAATCCTTAGGACAGGTGTCAATCCATATCTGCCAAGTGACACTATGTAGGGGGAACAGTCCCTATTCTGCTCTGTGTCAGTGTGTATCAGGACAGGTGTCAATCCATATCTGCCAAGTGACCCTATGTAGGAGGAACAGTCTCTATTCTGCTCTGTGTCAGTGTGTATCAGGGGCTCTGAGGACAGGTGTCAATCCATATCTGCCAAGTGACCCTATGTAGGAGGAACAGTCTCTATTCTGCTTTGTGTCAGTGTGTATCATGGTCTCTGAGGACAGGTGTCAATCCATATCTGCCAAGTGACCTATGTAGGAGAACAGTCTCTATTCTGCTCTGTGTCAGTGTGTATCATGGTCTCTGAGGACAGGTGTCAATCCATATCTGCCAAGTGACCCTATGTAGAAGGGAACAGTCTCTATTCTGCTCTGTGTCAGTGTATCATGATCTCTGAGGACAGGTGTCAATCCATACCTGCCAAGTGACCCTATGTAGAGGGAACAGTCCCTATTCTGCTCTGTGTCAATATGTCAAATGTCAGGTATCAATCCATATCCATTGTGATTTAGGAATGTTAGGTGATTTCTGCCCTTTATGGATTAAGTCAGACTCTGCATCAACTGTGTAATTTTCCATGGGAGTTTGCCATGGATCCCCCTCCAGCATGCCACAGTCCAGGTGTTAGTCCCCTTGAAACAACTTTTCCATCACTATTGTGGCCAGAAAGAGTCCCTGTGTGTTTTTAAATTCGCCTGCCCATTGAAGTCTATGGCGGTTCACCCGGTTCGCGAACATTTGCGGAAGTTCGCGTTCGCCGTTCGCGAACCGAAAATTTCGTGTTCGCGACATCACTAATCTTCAGAAGGATATTGATACCTTAGAGAGGGTTCAGAGAAGGGCTACTAAACGTGTTTGTGGATTGCGGGATAAAACTTACCAGGAAAGGTTAAAGGATCTTAACATGTATAGCTTGGAGGAAAGACGAGACAGGGGGGATATGATAGAAACATTTAAATACATAAAGGGAATCAACACAGTAAAGGAGGAGATTATATTTAAAAGAAGAAAAACTACCACAACAAGAGGACATAGTCTTAAATTAGAAGGACAAAGGTTTAAAAATAATACCAGGAAGTATTACTTTACTGAGAGGGTAGTGGATGCATGGAATAGCCTTCGAGCTGAAGTGGTAGAGGTAAACACAGTAAAGGAGTTTAAGCATGCGTGGGATAGGCATAAGGCTATCCTAACTATAAGATAAGGCCAGGGACTAATGAAAGTATTTAGAAAATTGGGCAGACTAGATGGGCCGAATGGTTCTTATCTGTCGTTACATTCTATGTTTCTATGACAGACCTCTCTGTCCCTGGATTTCATATTTCTCCTTATTTGCTTGGATTTTATATTCTCCCTTATATAGTCGTTAATTGGTTCGGTGAATTTCTCTTCTAATGCTACCAGGATAATGCTAATCAAATATCCGAACAAAATGCCAAACAACTGACCACCCTGCATGTGGAGTGTGCTGCTTGTTAACCTCCCAGAAGCTGTGGTGAACCGCAGCTTAATTGACGCATGGCTGGGTGGTCATCGTTCGTATGCACAAACACGTGGCGGCGTCCATCTTAAACTGTCGAACAGCCAGCTGTGTTTTGTCATCGAACGCATGGAATTGTTTTCGGACACTATTCCACACAAACACCGCTGGGACTTCCAGACTTCCAGCAATTCGTCTCTTTTCATATGAAAGCAACGGCGTTCGGTACATTTAAACACACAAACCAGGGACAAATATTGTAAAATCTGTCTGTAACGATCATCACTGTTGAATCTTCTTAATTTCTTCTGGTTGATTGATATATATACGTCTTTTGTATATATAGTCTTGGGCCAAATGCTCTCTACATTAATATATGTCTATTTTAATGAAAAGTTCTAATACGCAATCTGACTTATGGTTTCTTCAGGTTTAGTCTTAGTTACTGATACATAATAAAACAACAAATGATGTTACAGGATAATGGACATTCAACCGCAGATGGTAATTGCTGGAATCCTGACGGGAGAGTTACATCCTTACATCTTTACATCGAGAGAGAACTAGAGAGAGCCCAGAGCCAAGAGACCTCATGTCCCTTTGTTCAGTTACTATATAGAAGTGCCCATACTGACGTCAGAGCATAACTCTAGCCATATAAGGACAAAACGCCCAACTTACATTCCAGAGTTCTCATACAAGAAAACCTTGTGACTTATTGTATAAGTAACATATCTGTTACTTATACCAATCCAGACATCAATATATAATCAATAGAAACATAGAATATGCAATATTCTACACACATACACTGTTGCCATTCACCAGTTCATTCGGTAATTTGAACAGTATTTGAACTATTGGAAATAGAAAGGCCGCACAGCCTAATTCTCTGGAACTGTTTTGGGCATGAAGCCATGCTTGCGGTCGGTCAAATATGATTTCCAGGAATTTCCTGAACCCCTGCTCTGATCTGGGTGATATTTGGACATGTTGTTCACCCAGATCAGGGCTATCAGGGGATATAACATTTATGGGGATTCTGTACTTTGTGAAAAATGTGGTTTTTCTGCTTGGGGATAATTGAGTTAATTACAGTATCTTACTCAATTATCTCCCCAAGCAGAGGGGAGGGTTTGTGTACATTATCTGGGAGTGTCTAACTGTACAATATTGTTTTGAACCTTCAGTTCTTACTTTACCCTCAATCTAGAGTCTTGTCTCTTATTGGGGGAAACGGCTATAAAGCTATCACACTAACTCTTGTAAAAGCTTCTCTACTTGGATGACTGGTGCAATGCTGTGAATACCCCTCACACTCGGGAGGACACCCTCTAGCGGTGAGAACCACGTTCATTGGGGTAACCGCTACAAATACCATAACCACTGACCTACCATAACAACTGCCAATACCATAACCACTGATCATACCATAACCACTGACCGTACATAGCAACTACCAATACCCTAACCACTGACCTACCATAACAACTGACAATAACATAACCAATGACAGTACCATAACCACTAACAGTACCATAACCACTGACCGTACCATACCCACTGACTATTGATACAGGGTTGTAGAAATATTAGGCGATCAGTGGTTTAGATGTCGATTAACTATGATTATAGATAATTGTATGGCTTTGGTGGGTTTTTGACTTTGTTCTGTATGTGTGAGACGTCATTAATGTTGTGAAACGTGTGAGGATCCTGTGTGTGTGTACGTGTGTGTTCTGGCCTGGTAACTGCGCCATGTGGTGTTATTGATAAGGAGATTTGTGTGTCAGTTGTAACTGTGTTTGTATATTTGTATTGCTTTGAATCAGACTCGCCGTTGAAATCATGGGTGCGTCTGATTCGCAAATTGTTGGTCCTTTGTCTTGTATGTTTTAAAAAAAAACTTTGCTATGGGATGTGCTCTTTGAGATTATGGTGTAACACTGTCCCCCAAAAGATTAAAATACTCTGTGTAGCAGAGAACGGTCTGTTTTGGTAACCAGTGGTCCTGTGGTAGCCTTGATCCAGATTTAATACAGCAGGTTTAACTCCACCTAGTTTGGACACCCCCCGGAATCTGATCTCCCTTTACCAACCCCCTACTCTTCCTTCCAAGCTAAAACTGGTGTAGCTAGTGTTTCCACTTCCCCTGCCCTATTGTCTCCACCTACCCACTCACCCACCTCAGATACCAGCTCATCTGTCCTGGACAGATTCCTGTACCTACCCCCACTGGTTCTTTGTACCCTGAACTGACGTCCTTTTTGGTAGGAGTGTATTTTAGCGTATTTTATTATTGTTCAATTTTATTTTTAACAGTCAAAATTGTGAGGAGAATTCTTAATAACAGTAACTGAGTCCATTAGACCAGATAATTCTCAGCAATTACATTGTACCATCACCACTGACATAGCACTATAACTACTGAGCGCTGTGTGCTTTCAGTAACAGTAACTGAGTCTAAAATACAACTGCAGAAATGATCAATGGTATAAAACGCTGGAATACACTTTTACCTTTTTAAGTTACTGGACAGGCTCCTCCCAGCCCTGTCCAGTGGCGGAAACAGCTGGGTGCCTTCATGGATCCGAGGGGAGATCAGAGATCTCCCTCTCCAGTCCGCTGGCACATTGCTGGGCGGCCGGCATGGGAGAGGAGACCCCGGAGCTCTAGCTTGCAGCTCCACCGGGTCTCCTCTCGCGAGAACGGAGTGTTGCAGCGGTTACCATGGCGACGCTCTGTTCTCGCGAGAGTGAACTCTAGCCCAGGAGGTGCAGGCTAGAGTTCACTCCCCACTAGAACCGCCAGGGATTCCACCGGACCACCAGGGCTTCACAGAATGGATATCCACCCTCCCTGGGAAAAGGTAAGAAGGTAGGGGGGATAATATTTATAATAGCAATTCCAAATATTTGTTTTGTTTTTAAATAAAAAAAATATGCTTTATATCCTCCTCTCCCTGGGCAAAGGTAAGAAGGGAGGGGAGATATAAAGCATATTTTTTAATTTTAAAAAAACAACACTTATCTGTTTTAATAAGCCCCCTCCCCCAACTACACACACACTGCCCCACCACAAACTTACTCCCACTGCACCCCCATAAACACACTGCCCCCACTGCACCCCCATACACACACTGCCCCCCATACACACACTTACCCCCACTGCACCCCCATAAACACACTGCCCCCACTGCACCCCCATACACTCACTGCCCCCACTGCACCCCCATACACACACTGCTCGCACTAAACTCCCATACACACACTGCCCCCACTACACCTTCATACACACACTGGCCCCATACACAGTGTTCCCACTGCACCCCATATATACACTGCACTCCCATGCACACACTACACCACTCACACAAACACACACTGCCCCTCCTACACACAGTGCTCCCACTGCACACACACACACAAACACAGTCACACACACACACACACACACACATGCACACACACATACACACACACACACACACACCTACCTACCTAGAGGCCCTATCCCCATACTACAGCCTCTATCCTGGCAGGCCCCAGGTAAATTGTCAAACTGTTAAACGATTGGACTATTTACTCTGGGAGGGCACCACGGCATCCTGGCACCATAACCACTACAG